GTCCGTATTTCCCTGCATCCTCAGGGCAGTGTGTGTGAGGACTGGCTCACTGTCTACTGCTGCTACCCGCTGGCCGTCTGCCAGATGATCCGAGAAGCCAGATGTACCAGGTGTCCACCACACTGCAAAGCTCCTGAAGACCTGACTGTGTGACTCAGGGGACCTTGGGTATCTGTCCTGTAGCCATGGATGCTAATCTGATGCCTTTGGAACAATACTGCCACTGTGCCTTTTCAAAAAAAAAGCTTAAAACAAAATCTGAGCTCTGCATTGCAATATCGCTAAGCTTCCTTTTTCCTGTCAATGGTGAGATCATTAAAAAGCTTTTGTCTACTTTTCCAGAAAAGTTTTCTTTTCAACCCAGTCCTTGGGGACCCCCAGACAGTCCACATTTTTGCTCCCTCCCAGCTCCCAGTGCACCAATACCAGGTGTTCTGTGTTCTTGATTGGCTGGGAGCTGGGAGGGAGCAAAAATGTGGGCCGTCTGGGGGTCCCTGAGCACTGGGTTGAGAAAATGTTCTAGACAATATCAAGAATGCAATGGAACTATGAGGACATCCACTCCCATTTTAAAAACTGCAGCTGTTTACTGAAGACTTTTTTGGCGAAAGGTAAACCCCGTACTGGCATCTATCACTGGCCGGAGCTGGCAGTTACTCAGGCAGCCTTGAGACCAGAGTCCTGCAGTTCAAACCCAATAACTTGCCCATCCTAGTCAAATTCTGACCATAATTGTGTCCATAAATACAAACACTGTCAAACCGTCGGCTTTGTAAATCACTCTGAACCCTCAAGTGAGCATCATTTTATGTTACAGTATGCAGGTATATGTAAAACTGTGAACACATTCGGAGGTCACCATAGGTCACCATTAACAAAAGACTGGACCATATGGTATGTCAGTGTGGTATAAAATAATTTTTTTTTTGGCAGTTGTGTAATGCTATCCGTGGGGAATTCTGTGCGAGCAGACCGGGGTTCCTGCACCCTTCTGGGGATGGGAGATACGGCAATATTTGAATGCTTTTTAATTAGCTGTCGATTTATATCTGAAGCACCTGGTGGGGAGACATACGTCCAAATAATTACCTTAGCAATTACCGATTAAGCAGTAAATTAAAGCAAACAACGACATAGTGAAATGGATACAAGGACCGAGGCCACTGACACGATGATGTCATCCAGTAGGATGCCAGTGACATTGTGATGAATCTTTTCTTTCGTGGGGGTTCGTTCTCAGGGGTCTAATAGTAGCTATGCTCAGATACATCCCATTTTTCATTAGATCTGCTGTGCATTTGCGAAGACTCAAAAGCACGACAGAAATTTCGAATGGAAGACACTTTCGTACGTTGTGCATTTCCATTCGGTCTCACCATATATGTTTACACTTTCACACATATTTCACACGTTCAATCTGACCATACACACTCAATGGTCACAATCGCGATTATTTCTGTCAATGTTGAGATCACGATTATTTAACACGATTACTCATTGACTTTGTAAATATAGTGCAGTTATTCAACTTTTTGGAATTTATTGTCTTTTTAAGGGTGGATTTTAACTCTAAATTTAATTAAACGGAGAAACAAATAAAATGGGGTTAGAAAGGTGTGCACTAGATTTATAACACAAGACAAAACAGGAACATCATTGAGAAACGAATTGCGGCACTACAATCAATTAATCTGGGTTATTTTGTTTTGATAATCGTTGGAAGCTGCAATTGGAATTTAAATTAAAATTAAATTAATTGCCCAGCCCTACTACCTACTAATGCAAACAGCCAATCATTCTCCTGCAACCACCAATCATGCGACTGCATCTGAATATAACAGAACAGGAAGGTCAGGAGGTTCATTTACTGTATGTCTTAGCATTAGAATGGCTAAGATCTACGCTATTTTATACCCGGACGTTATCGCGGGTGCCTCCTGGGATGTCCGTGCGCTACGCCGTCTAGGGTTTACAGAGAATGGGGCCAGAGACAAAAACATCCAATCAGCGATATTTCTGCTGCTGAAAAACACGACGTCAGTGGGAGAGGTCAGAGGAGAATGGCCAGAGTTAAGGCTAACAGAAAGGACACCAGCTAGGTACAGCAGTGGTGTGCAGAAGGGCACCTCCAACCACAACCCATCAATGCACTTAGTGGTTTTGAAGACCTGAAGACAGAAGGGGTCCCCATTAGATGGTAATACATAGGAGTACCTAATAAAGTGATGCCGATTTAATACCCGTTCCCACTATTGTACATAGGCTATTGAATTATTCGGAGCACATACATACACATGAAGCACTGCACACATCAATTCATACACATTCAGATTGGATACGAACATTGTGTATCTTTCGACACACTGGTTTCTCAGACGGGATATGTCTGTATGGGTTTCCGAAAAAGTAGCTCAAATTAAAAACAAAAATAAACGTACTTCTCAAAAATAGAGCCGACGACCGCAGGAGGTAACGGCTCCACGGCGCCGGGGAAAAAATGCACGCGCTCATCTCCGCAGCTGACACAGTGCAGTGACTGCGCTCTCCGCAGTGGCTGGAATGATGACAAAGCTCTTTGCAGGCTGGTCGACGGGAAACCTTAATGATTTATTACCTCACGCGTTAGCTTACCCTCGCCTCTGTTCCTACTCGCATTAGCGCAGCGGAGTAGCTTAGTAAGCCTCTGAAGTATCAAGGGTATCACGGTACGTAGAATCCAGGATTTGAACTCGCGACCTTTAGGGCATGAGTCTGACTGCTTAATCACAGCACCATCTGCTCCCACTGATGTGGGCGGGGGGGGTCATCTCCTTTCTCTGTATTGATGCCATGTTACTAATGTTGTCTCCTGGGGCCACAAACTTATGGCCCCGATCCCTGCGTCTCTTCATCAAAGCCAGATATCCTATGCTTGGGAATCCCGCTGTGCATACTGTCTGAATAATAAAAATTAAGCAGCAAATGGCTGGTTGGCCCTTTCCCCAAGCGTTTTATATTATTTACAGACTGTCTAGTGGAAGGGGAGTATCTGCTAGACTGGAACCAGAATTGTGCGATCAAGACTTACAGGAAAAAAAGTCTTCAAAGTTACAAACGTTCCGTAAAACCGATGAAAAGAATCTGCAATCAAATGCGTTTCACTGTCAGAGTTAAGCGTATTGAGCGGCTGGTATGAGACGGGAGTGAAGGGCAGTGTCTGTTGTCATTGTGTCTGACGTCCAGTGCCCTGGATCATCGCCCACTCACTGTCATTTTAAATAATCTCATCTCAGACATTACATGTGCTGTTTATGTATTTTGACAGCCTGTCACCAGCAGAGGGCAGCGTAGCCCCAGAAAACGAGCACCCCAAGGCATCACACCGCGGGGGCTAATTCGGTTTGGGGTTGAAGAAACACAGACGTTTGCATGAATACATCAGATGGACAACTCCCATTCCGTAATATTACATTATAAGTATTACATTATAAAGGGACTGAATTAATACGAAGAATTTCATAGATAATTTTATAACCTAATCGAAGTCATACGCAATACTGAATTGCACAATATATTTTTGTTATTGTAGTTTTCTTCTCAAATAAAATTACTATTGAATCATTTTCTACATAACTGGAAAACGGTTAAGATTGTCCATTTCATTCCAAATATCAAAAAGGGTCCTGCTGTTAAATTAAATATAATTTCTAGCTCGGACCAGCCATTATATCTTGCCAACAACAGTCTTAGCTAAAAGCTTTAATTATCATCTGAGGATTATGGTCTGTGATTTCTTCCCAAGAAATAAGGAACCTGAGGCTCTCATCAAAACACTACAGCTGCACTGTGTTTGACATTTAAACAGGTCAGTAGGTTTAAGGAGTTAAATGCTGATCTGTACCTGTGTAAATCCTGTCAATCAAAACCTCGTAGCGCTGACTCCTTTGCCTTATGTTATAGAATCTGGGCACCTGTGAGTTTAATTCCCTAAAAAAATTTTGGGGTCCCACTCAAAAACTGACTTACTAGTGTAGTGACAGCTTTTGGTCAATAGGGGGCGCCCGAACCCTTGGGGCCCCGCGCCAACGCGTGGTTTGAGTGGTGGTAAAAATAATAATAATAATAATAATAATAATAATAATCGATACTTTATTAATCCCCTTCGGGAAACTGTTTTTACGCCTCCGTCAACTTGCTCTTTGTGGAGTAAGTTGTCCGTGAAGGGCAGCCACCCGTAGCAGCGCCTAGGGAGCTGGGGGTTAAGGGCCTTGCTCAAGGACCCGCAGACATGCTTAGGCTGGGTTTGATTACAGGTACACAGGCTCACAGTAAACACAGAGTGGCTCACTGTAATCATTTCAGCATCATATATCATAACAGATTGCGCGCTAATTTAACCACCTCCCTTTTCTGAAACGCATTAAGAAGTTAATTAAAACCAACATGTAAAAGTAAGGCCCCGTTAATTTTGCATCCTAAAGCATCTCAGGCCCCCACGATCAATTTCAAACGCTTCAGTATCACGCTGCAACAAAACTTTTATATTTATATAATTCGTTAAATATAACGGCGCTGGCCCTTGATTATCGGGATATTATAGTCCGGCATCGAGCTAAGGGGTCGACCTGCCCAGCTGAGCAGAGCTGAAAGATGGGCTGGAATGCTTAAATGATGAATGATGAAGCGTTAATCATGCTAAACACTAAGTGCTCAGGGGCAGGTCACACGGGCTGAAGTCAGACGCCGGTGCTCTGATGACAAAACCGCGAGACAGGACGTTTTTAAATCCCAGGTCCCCTGAACCCCAGAGAATAATATGAAAACGTGGGGGTACCAATAAGCCTTTCAGTTTTTTCATTCAGCGGAGAAGATATGAAGGCTCGTATTTACTCATCCAGTTTTTCTTCAGCCACCGAAGACAAATCTGACAGTATCACCCCCGGGATGGAGGGTCGGAGACGACAACAGTCATTAAAGAGAGTGTCAGGATTTATTTGTGTGTGTGTGTGTGTGTGTGTGTGTGTGTGTGTGTGTGGAGGGGGGGTGGTAATAGGATGGGAAGGAGGCCGGGGAATCACAGGGGCTGAAAGTGGGACGGTGGTCTTCAAGATGAAGAGGCAGAAAGGTGGTTTTCTCACAATCGACCGAATCATTAAAACTTTATCAAGATGAAGTGCAGCTTATAGGGAGCTCAGAGACCGAGCTGGATGGAGATGGATGCACTTTCAGTCATTTATATAAAGTTCACTGTACACATATTCTTTCGCAGGATATATACCGTGTCCTAGAAATTCTCACTCTATTAACGGTAAACTTCCCGATACCTAATACAGTGTCATCCCTATTAATTTTGTGGGTCAATTATAATGGGAGAATCTTATCTTATATCACTGCATCCACAAATGAAAAATGACTCTGGTATGGAACAAGTATTACAAAGAAATCGTCCATTACGCTCAAGCGTAAGTAAATAAGGCTTTTGACGGAGCAGAGCCCATCTGTGTCGGGCGGCTGCATAGCTGGGGCGTCGGGGATTCACAAGCAGCCAGATCTGTACCGCCGCCCACCTTCCTCTCTGGTTGGGTGAGCGGAGCTGGACGCGGTGCAAATCCCGTTTACCGGAGTGACGCTCCAGCATTTCATATTTCATAAAGTACGTCGTGCCTCATTACAGAGCAAACTTTTCACCCTGCTAAGTAATTAGTAGGCTACATTAGAGCGTTTTACACGCTGCATTAGGTTTTACCTTGGGAAAATGAGCAAAAACAAAAAAAAAAATCAGAACTCTGCGGCACTTATAGCTACACCACATAAAACTGCACCCCTCCGTTGACTTGCAGTAACAACTTAATCCAATTAGTGACCCGGAGATCTTCCTGCGCGCGTTTCTCGCGGCCGCGCTTCGCTTGGCTCTTCCGTGCCCGAGCACCTGGTGCGCGTCCGCTCCCGCAGGAAGGGAAGCGGGGAGCGCACTCCGCTCGTTAGCGGGTGCGCGCCCGGCGCTCTTCAAAGACGCGCGTGCACTGCGCGCCGGGAGGCGTCGCGGCTTCCCCTATCTCGGGCGCGGCGAAGACCTCGGTGGTCTGTTGAATTATGCAGGGCGCGTAGCCGGGGCCGGGGACGCCGCAGAAGCCGACTTTACCCCCCTCCCTCTGCGTCTTCTTCACCGAGGCCATGGAAATAGAGTCTGAGGAGGCACTGATGAAATGCACCGTCTTGCGGGCGTAACACGTTGCGAATCGGGGGGCTTGGCAGACGCGCGCGTCCACGGGCGATTTACACAAGGCGCGTTCTGAAATAAAGCCTTTCCGGAATGGAAATGTAGCACTTTGAAATCTGAAGAAGCAACTTTTTTAAATACTCTCCTCCTTTAACCAGTACACCACCTGCCGTCCTGTTGGTTCTAGAGGTATCATCCCCCCCAACCGGTTCCTGGCACTGCCCCCCACTGGAGAAAGGAACATCTGCGGAGCCTCGCTGTGCGACCATACGCTGGCTGAATGCTGCGTGATACAGTTTAACGGCCCTCTGTGCACATTACCCAGACATCACAGGCCATATACAGCTCAGTCGAAACTGAAACGTTATTGGACGCGGCCCATTGCCAACGAGTCATAAAACCACGAAGCTGTAAAAGCGCATAATGTCTTTCAAAGGCTTCTTATATATTGAGATTAGCATCGCTCAAGGCAATACGTTTAAAATATTTCTTTACATTACTTATTACAGACAAAGAAACATATTTGATGAAAATGTGCTGTATTAAAAAATCTCGTGGGCAGGGCAGTGGCTAAGTGGCTTGCACTGCTAAGTCACACCTCCAGGGGGTGCTGTTTTGAATCTCCCTCTGTGTGTTGCCTGTTTATGTCCTTGTGGGAGTAGGGGGGGGGGGGGCATGCAGTTAGGGTAGCTGGCTTGTGGGCATATGGGGGCTGTGCAGAGACTTCTCGAGGGGCAGCTGCTCGACTGTGGGTCATGTGGGTAAGATTTTGTGTTGATCGGTAACATGTGCAGAAATTGAGGGGGGGAGGGGCAGTTTAATTGTGGTCGAAATGGAGAGGCACTCTCAATCTTTTGGGTAAAAGCGGCGGTTGGCCCCCCATCCCTGAGCGTATGTGTCCTGTGATAGGCTGGCATCCCTCTCAGTCCCTCTAGCCTTATGGTATACCCCCCCCCCCTTTGGGCACTGTCTAGGATAGCTGCTTATTCAGTACAGGGTTCTGGGAGCACAGGACAGGAGACTAGGGGCTCTCTGCCCCTCTGCCACTGGGCTCACAGTCACAGACTAAGGAGGTTCAAACCCCCCCAGCCCTAGAGATTTGAGGCCCCCTCAGCCAGTACGCCACCACACAGCCTGCACTGCACAGCCCTGTTCATCATAATGATTAATATACGTTTTACTACGTGCCGCTGTAAGACCACGTGACTTAGACCATTAGCTGTTAGCGTTAGCCTCCACCATTACTTATTTCCAGGAAAGCTAACAAAGTGATTTTTTCGAACGCTAACTCAGTACCTGCTTTCTTTTAAGAATCTGTCCACCGAGGGATTAAACTTCGCAGAGAATCTTCAGCCGATTATCTTCACCTTGATCCCATGTTCCCTGTTCATTCATCTTATCGTTGCGGGATAGCTTAAGTCATGACAAGGGCAGAATATATAAACTGGAATGTATCTGACTGTCATGAAATGACTCGTAGTATGTTCTCAGAAATTCTAGTCACAGATGATGCTCAGTGGCTTGCACTGGTGTCCCACACCACAAGAGTATGGGGTACTAACCCCATTCGGGGGGGTGTTCCACGAAGTAGGATTTCTCAGTTAGCTGGGTTAACTTAAGCTAGAAGTCATGATCGTCCAATAAGAGGTAAGGAGCATTCCTATTGGACAACCATTAATTCTAGCTTAAGTTAACCCAGCTAACTGAGAAATCCTGTTTTGTGGAAACACCCCCAGATGTGCATTTGCACAAGTCTCCTTGTGTTGGAGATCCTCACGCAGTCCATGTAATTGAGTGACTAGGGCATGTATTTTCAGCTTGGAACAGACTAACATCCTGCCCATGACGTGTCATTTCCTGCCCTTCCTAGGATTGACTCCAGGTTCCAGCTGTCAGCCATGGCAGTGAGCAGAAAGTCTCTGCCTCGCTGTCTGGCTTCCATTTTGTTTTTTTAGCAGACACTTTTATCTAAAGTGAGATGCACGTTTTTTTTTTTTTTGAGAAAGCAGGGTCAGTCTCTGTAGCAATTAGGGGCAAGAACCTTGCTCAGGGGCACAAAAGCAGAAACACTCTGCTGCCTGTGGGATTTGAAGCAACAACCTCCTGACCACAGGTCCTGCATCCCACTCCACTGAGTCACACGCTGCCCCCCCCCCGTTTTGCCCAAATGCAGAAGTGATCAGTGATGCATCCTGAGATTTCACAGGAACTTGATTCTAATGAGTAACACTGACTTGTGACTTATCCTCACAACCTGACGGCACGAGCAAATGGTCTTGGACATCTTGTTGATTGGATATGCTGTCGGCGATCACGTGACGCTCCGTATCACGTCCGATTGGCCCGTGGACGGTGGCGATTTCGGCGCCTCTCCTCGGCTTCCACGCCCTGTTGTGGGAGCAAGTAGCGTTGCAGTTCCTCTCGTTAAAGTCCAGCCTGGAAAACGGACTATGAGAGTCAGAGAAAACACAGACCAAGTTCCATGCTTTTCTGGAAAAGGAATCCTTCTTAATGCAAACGAAGACGGCCATTTTTACTGAGTGTGGTATTGTGGGGTCTTTCCTTAATTTGAATGTGATTGGTCTTGATACATATCTAATCAAATGACCCCATCACCTGTACCACACCCCTGACCCATGAATAGTAACTGATGCCACTCGTGGGTCTTTGCAGCTTTGCAGTCTTTGCAGACTGGTTTTTCTTCCCATTGGATGGTGCCAGTTAGTGATTAACAGCACATGTAAATCTCACCCATAGTTGGTGCTGAAGCCTCATTTATTTCGTTGCAAGCTGAGGGCAATCAGATTAATTACACTGACTCAGAGAAGTCCATTGCTTTCTGGATGTCTTCGGCTTCTTTTAAAGAGCGACAGTTGGGCGTAAGTAATTGTTTTTAAATTTAGCTGGAAACAAATTAGACCAAGTGAGGACGTTCTGGCGCAGCGAGGCGAAGCGTCAGATTAAGATAGTAGAGCTAACTGTCCCTGGAACAAGGAGCAGAATAATCAGGCCGGAGTAAACTTCATGGTGCACAAACGAGAATTAATAACGAATGAATGGAGGCGTCGCTTTTTAACGTTTAGCCTGATGGTTGCGTTATAGTGATAAATGTCGTCAATGAGCACCACAGAGGAGACCTAGCAACCAGCCATGGAAACAGTGGAACCTGGTGAAATTCCATTCCGAGGCACCTGGAGCAGTCCGCGTTCTTCAGCAAGCGCAGACCCCGGATGTTTTCCCGAAGAACCGGCGCTAACCTACTTTTAGCATCCCTGAACGATGACGCGTGCCCGGGGAGTTCTGATGTCGGGGAAAACACTACGGCAGGGTGGGTGTTACTTGGCAGGCATGGTGAAGGAGTAGATGTCCCCTTGAGAGAAAATACTTTAGGTGGAATCTCTCTGGGTGTGTGTGTGTGTGTGGGGGGGGGGGGGGGGGGGGGGGGGAGGGGGGGGTGACATTATTTTGCAGCTAAAAAAAACAATCCGCAGTGTGGTCCTATTTGTCCAGTGGGAACTCAGCATATTCCCTCACCCTAGCACTGAAAAACATATAAAGCTGTGTATAAATCTTACATTACATGTCTGTGTTTAATGTTACGTAACCCTGTTTTTATTTTCAGTGAATGTAAAGCACTTAGCTTCCAGTTAACTGGTTTGCACCAGACCTCTGCACTGAAATTGCGGCCCTCGTACCTGTCTGTGAGTGGGGGCGGGGAGGGCAGTATCCTAACCTCATAACTCATTTTTTCCATACATACTGTTGCACAGAATATAACAGTCAGAAAACCGGCAAAAAAAACCCATCAGAAATAGTTAACTAGAGCAGCAACAGCAGTGACAAATAAGCAGGTCAGAGGCCAATGTCAGGAGTGAAAAATTCCAAAAGTTAGCGAAGTTATGATATGCTGAAGTAGGGCAGGTTGGGGCAGAGTTAAGAACGTATACTCATAATCTGAAGATTGCTGGTTCACGTCCCAAGTGGGGGCCCTGCTCTAATACCCTTGAGCGAAGCACTTAACCTGAATTATTCCAGCAAAATATGCAGGTAAAAAGGCTTATTTGAAAACATGAGCTCAGCATCTAGATACACGGATGCCCTTGTTGTTTAGGAACGTGTGTTTTCTTAGTGTGGGCTGTGATGCCGACGGAAGGTAGAAAATTGCAGAACCACGGACAGCAGCCCAGACTCGACCATGGGCCCAGTGCAACTCCACACCCCTTGCTCACTCCCGGTCACTCTCGTGCTCAATTCAAGCCCCTGGCAGCCAAGACCAGCCCCCCCTCACTACCCCCCCTCTTTCCTGCTGGCTTAGAATGTCCGAATGTCTCCTGCTGACAAAAACAAAAACAAAAACAAAACACATCAAGACTGTCCCTCCTCTCTAGTGCCAGGACTCTCAAATTCTGAAAAAATATTCTCACGCGTGAACAAACAAACAAACAAACAAACAATTTTTTTTAATTGCTTGCAAACATCACTTTTTCCCTCACACTTTTATGCTGTTTCACACTCTCAGAAGCTCTGCCCATCACCCAATGGGAAGGCTGCCCTCAGATAATTGACATGTCACTCTTGGCCTTAAGACCCGCCTTCCTTTGGCTGCAATCTCTCTGATTGGTTGACAAATCCCCTCTAAATACATCCTAGTCTTTGACCTTGAACCTGCCCCAAGGAGAGCTCTATTAGCTTCAGAGGGAAAATTGTCCATCCTTTTGTTGATCTGTTTATCTGTCTATCATTTTCTTATCTGTCTGTCTTCCATGGACTTCAGGGACAAGGTAGTTAGAATGAAACACTTTGGGATTAGCAGACACCCGTGGCAGGACACTGGTTCAATGCACTAATTCATTAAAAAAAAAAAACCAGTTTAATCAGTTATGGTTTGCGTTATGGTTATTATGCAATTACCAGGGTGATAATCTTGTGCAGACCACCCAAGTCTAAAAGTTATTTAGAGTCACCAACGAACCTGATCTACATGGAGGAGAAAGTGTGTCTGAGTGTGAGTTTCTGAAGGAAATGCCGACCCACAGAGAATGCAATCTATATCCTTATTTCACGAACAAGCACTCCTCGGGTTACGATGGTCCGTGTTACGATATTTCGACTTTACTATGGGTAAATGTTTTTCGCTTTCAGTACTTTCTTCGGTAAATCACATGAGATATTCAACGCTTTATTATAAAATAGGGTTTGCGTTAATGATTTTGCCCAACTGCTTGAGGTTGGCTAACCTAGGCTATGATGTTTGCTAGCTTAGGTGTATTTCACCTTACGTTAGTTTTGTCGGAATGTAATCCCATCGTAACCTGAGGAGAGGCTGCATTAGGTTTTAAAAAGTTCTATATAAAAAAGATTTCTGTAAATCCTGTAATGCTCCCTTTACTAAGTCATTCCTTGCATCAAACCTATTCTGATTGGTTGCTGTGAATAATATACTGAGAAAAGATTGTATAAGAATAGAGGACGTCGAGCAGTAAAATGTTATTTGAGCGACGGGGTCTGGCTGCAGTACTGCGAAGCTAAAAGTGGATCTGACTGAGCTGAAGAAGAAAAAAATACTTAAAAGGACTGTGCGGTCGATCCTTTATGCATCGGCAATTAGGCCTTCTGTTAGTCCGACGAGAGCTGACCTTCAGAGCCGGTCAGACTTTGAATGCTTCTGCGGAACGTGGGCAAAAACGCAGCTTTCTGTGGAAGTTTTCCCTCGTGTTCCGTGTATGTTGAGCCACTTTTTAAGGCCGTTGCAATTTAAGGGAAAGGTGTGCATTTCGCATTTGCCCCCTGAATGATTATTTAATGAGAGGCTATCGTTTCCCCGCTGCTGTGCTGTATCCGATCCAGGGCTGAATTATTCAGGGGGTGTAGACAGGGGTGGGCAGGCTTGACGTCGATTACCTGCCTCAGGTGAGCTCCGCTGAGCCCCACTCCAAGTTTGCGTCCCTCCGCCGGACCTCAGGGCAGCCTCCTCGCCAACGCCGGTGACATGGAGGATACGCAGAGGAAGCTTAGCCAGAGGTATGATGGCAAGCCACGGAAAGTGCGCTTCAAGATCGCGTCCTCGTACAGCGGGCGGGTGCTGAAGCACGTCTACGAGGACGGCCAGGAGCTGGACAGCCCCGAGGAGAAGTACCCGCGCAGCTTCATGCATGGCAAGGTGCCCCAGCATCTGGAGGCGGAGCAGCTCTCCAGCTTCCAGGAGTCCCCGGAGGCGCGGATGGGCATGTCCCCCGGGCTCACTGCCCAGAGGATAAACGTCTACAGAGGCATGACTAGCTACAGACTCGCTACCTGCGGCGGCTCGCCACCAGTGGATTCCAGAGTGAGTACTGGCTCAGGTTCTCTTGGAGCTGGCCAACAGTAAGGAGGCAAAATCTCCAAGGACTCTTAGCGTTTTCCCCACGGATTTCGTCTCACTGCTCTGTTCTGCGCGTATATTGAGAATCAGATTCGGAAGCTTCATCGTCACATGTTCGGTGGGAGACAGTGAAATTCTTATTTTATGGTTACATGGTAGGGAAATGGGGGCAGGACAGACAGCAGGGCAATATAATAGAGACAGCAGTGCAATACAGGACAAAGAGCAGTGCAATATAGGACAGACAGCAGTGTAATATGGGACAGAGAGCAGTGCATTCCAGGACAAACAGCAGTGCAATACATGACAGATAACTGTGCAATACAGGACAGACAGCAGTGCAATATGGGACAGAGAGCAGTGCATTCCAGGACAAACAGCAGTGCAATACAGAACAGACAGCAGTGCATTCCAGGACAGAGAGCAGTGCATTACAGGACAGAGAGCAGTGCATTCCAGGACAGAGAGCAGTGCATTCCAGGACAGAGAGCAGTGCAATACAGGACAGACAGCAGTGCATTCCAGGACAGAGAGCAGTGCATTACAGGACAGAGAGCAGTGCAATACATTTCAAAGTGTTGTGCTATAAGGGATGAAGAGCAGTAAAGTACAGGACAAACGTCAGTGCAATACAGGACAGAGAGCAGTGCATTGCAGGACAGACAGCAGTGTAATACAGGACAGACAGCAGTGCAATTTAGGAGTGAGTCACAAAAAAAGTAATATATATGTGCATTATGGTAAATGAATTACAGTATAGAAGAAGAAATAAGGATAAAGTGCAGGTTCACACACACAGGGAATTAGATTCAGGTTATGAAAGACCCTCGTACATACTGTACAGTAGATACACAGTTAAGACAAAATATGACAATGGGCTGGTACAATGATAAACACGATGTGTATGTGTGGTTGATAAATGTATAGAAGTGCAGGAGTACAGGTCAGTGTAAGAAACGTTGCCGTAAATACAGTACAATATGTACAATATGACTAAAACAATGTAATAATTATAATGAGTTATTACCAACAATGAGATGTTGCTTGTCATGGGGATGAGGATTGTTAAGGAAGAAAATTAGTTAAGCGGGTCAACAGAATAGAACGTTAGAATGTTTGCACAATATTAGCGGTACAACATCCAAGTAACCCACACGTCATCTCTGGTAGGATATTTCCTCGGACGACGAAATTAACATTATCACCTTCATCTGAATTCCAATTTGCATAATAAGCTCAACCATATCATATTAATTTAGCCAGTGCTAAAAGGCCGTCAGTGATTAACGATATGCAGATGTATGTGATTTGAGGTTCTGCCGCCGTGCTGAGCGGGATCCTGTGTGGACGGGGTGGTTGGGTAACGTTAAGAATGTGTTCTGTTGACCTTAGCATGTTTGGGCCGTGTCTTCCAGTCGTCCGTGCTGGACTTTGGGAAGATTATCATCTACACCAGTAATCTACGAATCATCAGGTCCCCTCAGAGGAGGACAGAACTGATGAAGACCTCTGTCCAGAGACAGGACGGAGAGGGAGAGGATCCACATGGGCGAGGAAGAGGAGGAAAGCATTACCACGGGTCACTGTGCTCTCACTGGGAGGACGAAGATGGCCTTGAAACCGCAGACAAGGTAACACCAGCACAGACAGACAGAAACAGATGGGCAGACAGACAGAAATACAGACAAATAGACAGACAGATAGGCAGGCAAACAGATAGACTGACATAGACAGACCATTTCAGGCCATGCACAGTACATTTACACCAATACTGTCCATTTGTATTAATAACACTAAAAACTGCACATATAACACTTGATGACATGGCAACAGAAGCAGTCAGTGTGTATTAGCATATATAATAAAAAGTTGTATTTCAGTTCTTAGAAAAGAGGTTCCACACATTACATTAAATACACTGCAAAGGCAAATTTTATAAAGTGTGTATGAATAGTTATTTGTTTTTGCATCATCTGTTGTGTATTGTGTGTGTTGGAGTGCTTGAATAATCGATTTATCATGCATGACAGCGGCTGTTTGTGATTAAATATCTGTCGCTGTATCTTTGTGATGTTTTAGGAAAGTTTTGCGGTACTGTTTGTTTTTCCCCCTTTGGTGCTTTTTTTCCAGTGCAAACACAAGCAGTCTTTGTTGGTGTAGTTCATTTATCAAGATGAGACTGTTGGTGTCAGTTTGCACAAGGGACACCGGTCCCTCTAGTGGTCAGTGGGGGAACTGCGTGTGGTTGACTTGCTTGCAGGAGGAGGCCGCGTGTCCGCAGTGCGGGGGCTCGGGCTGCACTCCCTGCTCCCTGTGCCATGGAAGCAAGCTGTCCATGCTCGCCAACCGCTTCAACGAGTCCATCCGAGCCCTGCGATGCCCGGCGTGCTACCCGGACGGCCTGCAGCGCTGCCAGTCATGCTCGGGCCAGCATGGCGGAGAGCCCTGAGGGCGGGACTTCCTGCTGGGAGTCTGTGTGAACATAAGCGGACGAAGCAGACACAAAACCCTCAATGTGAAAACAATGACGGGCTAAGCAGCCAGTGCATGTGTACAGGCGGCCATTGGCTTCCGAAAATGGCCGACCATCAGTTGATAAATGCGGAGACGCATCTTCAGCTTTATAATCATAATACTCAAGAGCTCTGTAATGGGTGCAGGTGTGTATACCGGGGCGGGGCTACAGGGATACTGGAAAGCTGATTGGCCCATAGATTGCGACCTCCCCTGTCACTCACAGATTCAAAACATATCATTGGCTAACGATAAGGTTGGCCCCCCTGTATGAATTATGACCCCTATTATGCCCCCCCCCTGCCTTAAAAAGATCCTTGACTTGCCCCTGTAAGGATGTATCCAACTGCATTATTACATACCTGGATATTACTCAAGAAGTAGCACCTCTGTTTATGTAGCTGGTTTGCAGCCCAAGCTTGTACATTTATCACGTTTGAGGAATAACTAGTCACTGTCAAACTGTTGTGTGCAACACATGTACGGCCTCATCTTTGCATAGTATCATAGCAATAAACCACACTTTTTAAGGCTTTAGGTTACCACTGTCTTTACACAAGATGCATTTTACCACGGTGTTGCACTTGCAATTGAATAAATAAATATGTAATTCGCCTACAATAATGTTTATTCCTTAGCTTCGAAATCCAAGTTTTAACATTAAGTGGTGTTAACATGGTGGTGTTCGAAAGGGTCATTATCTTTGACCTTCATCAAATAAAACCAAACTGCTAGCTATAAATCCCACAATGCTTTAGTCACTGAAAATTAGCAATGCAACTTAAACAAAAGGCTGAGTGGAATTGTACGTGATGAATTGCTTCCCTTACTTTGTGTATAGAACATCTGCATGTTCTCCTTGCCTTGCATGTCTTTCCGTGGGTTACCTCCAGATAATTCAGTTTCCTCCTACAGGAAGCTTGATGTCTCTAAATTGTTCTTCATGTACGTGTGTGTTTATATTACATTGTGGGAACCAAAATGTTCCCCACCATGTAATGAAGACCTGGTATTTTGACGTTAGGGGGGACTGTTTTTCAGGTCCCCACAAAGATCCGTGGATGCAATCAAAAAACTAAAAATGCCAAAAGTCTTGTATTTTGTTTGGTTACTTATGGTTAAGGATAGGGCTGCGTAGGGGTTAAGGTCATCATGTTGGGATAAGAGTGTTCCCCATAGAAATTAATGGAGAGTCCCCACAAAACTATACTTACGAACCTCTGTGTGTGTGTGTGTGTGTGTGTGTGTGAGAGAGAGAGAGAGAGAGAGAGAGAGAAAGAGAGAGGTTCATCCTACTCCCCAACCTTGGGGATTGTGGGACAGGGTTCAGGTTCACCAAGCAGCTAACTTTATGTAAAGCAGAATTACATCCTTTATGTTGGCCTGAGAGGCAGTGGTTACCTTAAAGCATAAAGAAGACACTGTTAAAGCAATAAAACAAGTCGGTGTAATCCTGCACAAGAACATTTGTCAGCTGCGGAAACCACATCGCCGATCATTAAAATGCCTGTCAGAGAATTACTCCAAAGTCTTATCATGAAACAATTCTAACCTCACGAAAGCCCTTAATGTCACCACAATACCCGTTCCGATTTAAAAAGAGGCAGATTAAGTTTTGAGTCTGTTAGTAATCCTCGGGAATGTAAATGAGGCGGTCTCTTGTCACTGCGCGGAAACAGCACTTCTGCTCTGTAACCAGTACAGGCGGCCCCCAGGTACGAGATACGCACCCTAAGTCTGTCTTTAAGTCGATTTTGTAGGTAAGTCGGAAACATAATGCAGTACATAATGATAATAATACATTAATGATAAAAGTACTATAATCCGAAAAACCGCTGAAGCAGTGCATTATTATGCACTATTGTATTTAACCCAAATTTTAATATCGTTATATATACTATACGATACTATAGTATCGTTTTTATGTTAGTTCGTTCGTAAGTATACGAGTTGTCCGTAAGCTAAGCATTGCCTTGGTGAACTCAGTGCTATTAACGACAAGAAATAAGTAAAACAGCGAAAAACATTGGAGGTAAGAGACGTGACGACCCACAGAGGGAATACTTTAAAACTTACTTCTCCAAGAAAGTGATGCATTTTACGGCAGAATACAGAGGACCCTCCATGTGAGTAAGTAAACCATACAGTATTTATAATCTACATCTCTCTCAGAGGTGGATTAAATAATTCACTTGTCAATAAATAAGCGGACAAGGAGACCACGGCGCCGAAGGCAGTTTCTAAATACGGAACGGCAAGGTCACGGTAGGTGCGGCCGTGCGGGAGTCTGCGTGATGAATCCGCGGCCAGTCCGTGCCGAGCAGCGCTGCGCAGTTTGGAAATTTGGCAGCGGAGGTCACAGAGTATGCAATTCATTTTTGCTCACATTTGATGCTTTTTTTGCATTCCAAACTGGGAGGGGGGGGGGGGTTACCTCCAGGTCACACCCTGTTGCTCCTCCAGTGGCATCTTCAAGCACGAGCGGACAAACGCGTCGGCCTCGGGGTATCTGCTGTTTGGACATGCAGGGCAAAGCCGCCCGGCCCTAGTGGTGTGTCCCATACTGTAATATTATTTAATTTATTAAGACTTCCTTTTCTGCAGTATAAATTTAGTTACCTGAGACATTAACCAGGATAAAGATGGATGGATAGATGGATGGATGGATGGAGCAATGGCGTTGTGCAAACCAAATCTGTGGGTAAGCACCAAAATCCAGAAACGGGCCCCTCTGCTGCCAGCGATTCATACGACACGCAAAGGCATCAGTTCTATAAGTAGTAATCTTTGTATTTATGTGATGTTTCCGTAACAACGGTGTGAGGGGCGTGGCTTCAGCTGATCGCGAAGAGGACCTTAATTAGCCGGTGATGATTCATCAGGCGCCATGCGAGTTGCCTGATTTTCTGTTCCAGGCCTCCGCCGGCTGTGTCGTGGCCTTAAACGCTGTCATCTTCGCTAGCCGATAAAATGCGTCAGGAAACG